ATGGAATTTGATTATTCCAACAACTATTGATGAGTTAGGTTAAGAACAAGGACCGTTAAGGGTGTGATTGTTTATCAATTCACTCCAAAAAAAAAAAATCAATCAAAACTCAAATTTAAATCAACTTTAACCTAACTCCACTATCTCCAATATTATCAATATACTTAAATAATATCAACCAATTATTCAACTAATCATTCTTACACATCACATCAACTTTAATTCACTATTCATCCACTCACATATTTTTAACTAACCATCACTTCTAATCATTTTTCTCTTACTTTTACATCATATCAACTTTAATTATTTTATTTTAAATATTATTTTAATATATACACTAACAACTGTTTAGTAAAATTTTGCGGTGGGTAAAGGATAACCGAGCTACTCGACTCGGGTTGATCTCGAGGGAAGGCTATTTGGAGCTTTACTTACTATTCAATCGCTCAAATCACAAAATGGAAAATAAAGTCCTAATCATACTAATCAATTTGGGTTGAGGATGATTAACACTAATTACGACTAGAGAAAGCGAGCAAACAAGCAACTGAGCAAGTGGACGAACTACGAATTCTAGCAACTAAACTGGTGAACAAAGTCAAAAGCAACGAAAACGAAAATAAGAGAAACAAACTCCATTTAGCATGCTTAAGAGCCAAAACTGAAATCCTACTACGAAATAACCGAGCTAAATGTAAAGTCACGATTTTTCAAATAGAAATCAATAAATCAATCAACTCCAAGCATCATAAACGAGCTCACAAAAGTAAAGGGAACGAAAACAACTAAAATAGCTACTAAAAATCCGATAATCGAGCAAGCCCTAATTACTTCTACGCACGAGATAGCAAGTAAGTACGAAAATCGAGATCACAAGGCTTAAAAGTAAGTACTCACATCCCTAACGCATGCTTGATCGAAATCGGAAGAAAAAGATTAGAACTTTGCATAAACGAAAAGTCACCGGAAAAAGTCGCCGGAAAGAGTAGATAACATCCACCTTATTCTAGAGAGAAATAAAAGACTTAAGCTAAGAACCAAAAAAGGAAAAGTTTCATAATGAGCTAGATAATCCAAAATACAAAGGCTCAAAAGTATTTATACTCCACTCAAAACACGCACAAGAAAACGCAGATTTAATACGACACTCTCGACCTCGCTGCAACATTCGCGAGCACGCGAGAAGGAAACGCACGGGCGCACATGCACTAGAGGGACTCTCGACGTCGCATAAAGATCCACGGCGTGGGCGTTGGGCAGTCATACTCTCGATCTCGCGGTTCTAGTGGTGAGCTCGCGGTATGTGCTGGGCGGCAGTGGACGGGAGCTCTCGAGGTCGCGGGAAGTGTGGCGAGCGCGCGGCAAGGCTGGCAGAGGCTATCGACCTTGCGGACTTATCGGAGTGCACGCGAGTGGCGCTGGGCGACGGCAGGAAGCAAACTCTCGACCTCGTGGTTCT